ATCGTACAGTTCCTCATTGTACAGTTCAACATATGATACACGAACTGAGAATTCCTCCGCGTTCTGTAATGTCAAACGTATTGGAGCTTACACTGTTTTCTGCACTCACTGATTTGCTATCTGACTAGCCCGAGGAAAGGTAACTGCGTGAGAGATTGGTTTCTTTGAGCAAATCCTTGTTATTCCTGTAAATCCCGAGTGCTTCCGCTTCAACTCCTCTGGACTCCAAGACTTGTCGAGTGCCTCCGATAAAGGGAAAACAGGCACCTTTGACTCCTCTGCGCACTTGCAGGCGGTAATTACTTCTTCCCCATTTTCACAGTCTGTTATTTTGACTAAATATTTTTTTAAACTTATTGCTTCCTTTCCCAACAAAACTTTTTTCGCCTAAATTTCACGCACACGTAAACCAATTCTAAGTCGATCTAATGTTGAAATCTGAGCCATCAAGCTATATATTGTGTCCTTCGACTTAATTATCCGCTTTTTTTCTTTTCTTTTATGCACAAAAATTTTGACGTTCTTTTTGCTTGGAAACGAAAATATTCGTTTCTTCATTTTCCTCACGCCTGACTGTTGTTTTACTTGAAATATGGGGTCAAACCTGAGCTTCCAATTCGGTGAAGATATGCTGCAGAGCACGGGGTATTACGCCGACGGAGGAATCCTCATCCCAAGCCAAAACACGATCGCGATCTGTATGTTCGGGCCCTTCCATTGTGAATGTTTTGCCAGTACTCGTTTGTCCATAGCTAAAAAAAGCTTTGTTAGATCAAAATTTATGAATACGCAATGTGAAATGAGCGTTTGGGCCGTCAACGTTGCATAAATAAGCCAAAGGGGATAAGCGATATCCCCTTGGCTCTGTTTAGCAACCGTAAGTCATTTTTCACTGCCAGGGACATTCCGTGTTAGATTTTCGCAGGACAACTAATACTTTGGTCACCAAATGAATTAGCTTCGAGAAGAGCGGGAGCGAAAAAGTTCCCGAATGGTGCAAAAGCTTGTAGAATGCTTACCAAAGCATCAAATAAAAAATATTTAAGCCCAAGAGGATGCGCTGAAGAATTTTTCCACGAAAGGAAACAGTTAAGTAAAGAGGAAACAGAACAGAGCAAGAAAAGGAGGGGCGAAATTAGGTGGAGTGGAGTACTGACTAAAAAACAGCTGAGACCTTGCTTGATGGTGAGAAATAGAAACAGGAGCGGAGGTTATGGGAGAAAAGGGGTACAAGGGTTCCGCGATGCTAAGCCAAGTGAAAGGTGGAAAACAGTGAAAGTTAGGAGCAATGGCAGTTTTGCCTCAAAATTCCACCGAAACCCATAAACAAGTGTATTTTGCGTGGCCAGTCTGAGTTTAGTAATTGCCGAGAAAGGTTCGAAGATTGTTTGTTCAAAGAAAAAAACGATTGTTTGAAGAAGCTTACGCGAATAGTGTGCAATTATAGCCAGCAAGAACATTTGCAACCAGTGGCTCCACCAGCTCATTGTATATGTCCAGTTGTTTTGCCTGTGGTCCGTACACCTGAAATCATTCAAAAATGCTATTTTTTAAAACGCCCATTATGCAGATTTCAGTTCGGTCTACGTATACAGCTAAGGGATGAAACACAGACTTATCACATAGTAAAATGTTCTTCGGCACATGACATTTAAGACCAATCCTTCCATTCTACTATTTCAAAATAACAGATATAGCGTTATGCAGCAGGAGCAATTGTAAACACGGTCAGCTGTTTTGAGCGTGCAGTCCAACATTCAACAAATCGTCCTTCAGGGTATCGTTGGGACTTACTCTCACCGTACAGGCCCCTCAACAGACGGAAATCCAAAAACAGTAACGTATTGGAATGGTCTTTTTGACCATGTTCCGTATTTTATTTTCATGCTCGTGTTTGCGCCAAAAGGAATAAATAGCAACGCGCACCAGACTAGCCGATGCGATCATGCGTTCTGTGCAATTCCGCCCACCGAGCGACTGCCTA